TATTGTAAATGATACTTATGTTAAGAAGCAAAAACCTATTTATTCTATTGCATATCTAGAACTTTGGAATTTTGGAACCAGAAGGGAACCTGGGGACTGCTGCTCCAGGCCTGGAAAAATTAGGGGGTTTAGGGGAGACTTGGCCCCTGATGTAGTCTCCAAACTCAGGCCAGGAGTCCTTAGTCCTCCTTTGCATCCCTCTTTAGGAGGACAGCAGCTGCGTCCCTAGAGGCAAAAAGAACCACTTTAGCCAGGACTTTCTTCCAGAAACATTGGCATGGCTAGTGCTGTTGGCATGGCTGCTCAGTGGTTGGGGAGAAACAAGTGCTCATTCCCAGGCTTTGAGGACCACGTGGTTTGGAAGGCTGACCACTGAGGTCTGGTGGAACCAAGTTATTACTTAAAGAAGAAACATGACCTTTCAGGCATCCAGTTCCCAAGAAGTTTTGCTCTGGCCCAAAGCTCGTTCTTCAGCTGGTTAAATTCAGGTTCCAGTGCCCATCCTTAAGTAATCACTGGGCCCCAGCCTCCAGTCAAAGGAAGACATTAATCCAACTGTAGGGATATGTTTGCATGCAGCAAAGGTTTGAATCCCATCAGGTAAAAGTATGTTTCTAAAATGTTTCTTCTGCTGGACAGGATTCTGTAGCTCCAATTAGATGGGATGTTATACTGAGCATATTGAGCTGCCATTGATGTCACTGTGTCTACGGGCATATGCGCATTCCTCTGCTTTGGCTCCCAAAGAGCAGGGACAGTGATGGCAGGCCTGGCTGAGCTCCGCCTCTGTATGAGGCAAGCCTCCTTTTGGTGAGATAAAGCCTATCAGTAACCAATTTGGTGGTTAGACTTCCTCACTGCTTATTCACAATACTGAAGTAAGTATTTGCGATTTGGGGATGACACATTTTCTTCTGTTTGTCTTAGTCTGGGCTCCCCCAGAAAATGACCCTGAGACAAAAATGGGGGTGCACATGGCTTATGTGGGAGGCAGTCCCAGGAAACAGTGGCAGAGGAGTGGGGAAGTGAGACAGGAAAGGGAAGAGAGTCAGTAGAGAAGACTGCCTTATCATGTAGTTTATCAAGTAGTTCATCACTGTGGGTGCCACCAGCTACATACGCTGAGGGAGTCAGTGCGTGGCTCAAGCCTCAGAGTCACCATCCCAACCGAAGCAAAAGAGCTGGGATATTTACACCCTTCCATCAGTCACTGGTTAGCGCCTCACTCCCGCTCCTGGGAGTCGTATTTCTCTGGCCCTTCCAGCTAGTCTTCTGATTAGGAAGAGGAGCTCCTGCTACTCAAGAGAAGGCCCTCAGGTAGTTGGACTTTGGGCCAGTGCATACTACCATGGTTAAGAAACAAGGGTGGAGCAGTGGCAGCTTCTGGAATAGTCACATTACCCTAGATCTACTCCCGAAAGAGAGAGAGAGAGAGAGAGAGAGAGAGAGTGTGTGTGTGAGTGTGTGTGTGTCTGTGTGTGTTGCTCAGACTAGTGGTGTTGGGGTCATGGGGACATCACAGTTAACTCTGATCCTGAAGATGGTAACCTAGGGATCTGATGTAGTGATTTCCACACTTACAATCTGCATGGCATCAAGGAGCACCAAATGTAGTTACAGACCCACAGCATGACACGGCAAGTGTTGATTGGGAATCAGCACTAAGCTGTTCCTTCCGTACCAGCAGATGGATGATATTTCATGACAGTGAAGCTTATTTTCCTAAAGCTACAATAATTAAGATTTGCTGGGCTCCTGCTATGTGCTAAACCATACACTACATAATTCATTCCTCACAACCCTATAAGGAGGTATGATTATCCCCATTTTACAAATGAGGCCAAGATGTATTTATTCAATCAACAATGAAAACCTGGACTGGGTCCTATGGATCAATTAAAAAGCAAGACAGACATGGGCCTGTTGACAGGCTGTGAGCAAGTGCAGGAACTGTAGGGCAACCTGGCCACTGAGTGGAGATAGAATTGGAAGGGCCAAGAAGGGCCTGGAGGGTCAGGAGACCAGTTAGGAGGTGAGGTAGAGTAAGCAGGCAAGAAATGAATCGTCATGTTCTAAGTAGTAGCAGTGAGTTAAGCCATTAACCAGCACCACAGAGTTTGCAAACTGCATGGTTTTGTTTTTCTTTCCCCCCCGCCCCCTTTTTTTTTTTTTTTTTGAGACAGGGTCTCTCTCTGTCATTGCCCAGGCTGGAGTGCTGTGGTGCAATCATGGCTCACTGTAGCCTCAGCCTCCTCGGTTCAAGTAATCTCAGCCTCTCAAGTAGCTGGGACCACAGACATGAGCCACCATGCCCTGCTAATTTTGTTTGTTTTTATTTATTTATATATTTTTTGAGACAGGGTCTCACTCTGTCACCCAGGCTGGCATCCAGTGATAAGCCTCAACCTCCTGGGCTCAAGTGATCCTCCCACCTCAGCCTCTTAAGTAGCTGAGACTACAGATGACGCCACCAACCCTGGCTAATTTTTTGTATTTTTAGTAGAAATTGGGTTTTTGCCATGTTGCCCAGTCTGGTCTGAAACTCCTGGGCTCAAGCGATCTGCCTGCCTTGGCCTCCCAAAGTGCTGGGATTATAGGCATGAGCCACTGCACCTGGCTGGTTATGCTTCAGACTCAGTCTAATCCTAAAACATATCTCAACACTTTTCTGTTTTTAAATAATATTCAATACTTAACCACATATTTCTGTTTTTCTTTTTCTTTTTCTTTTCCTTTTTTTGAGACGGAGTCTCACTCTGTTGCCCAGGCTGGAGTGCAGTGGCACAATCTCGACTCAATGCAAGCTCTGCCTCCCGGGTTCACGCCATTCTCCTGCCTCAGCCTCCTGAGTAGCTGGGACTACAGGTGCCCGCCACCACATCTGGCTAATTTTTGTATTTTTAGTAGAGACGAGGTTTCACTTTGTTAGTCAGGATGATCTTGATCTCCTGACCTTGTGATCTGCCCACCTCAGCCTCCCAAAGTGCTGGGATTACAGGCATGAGCCACCATGCCCATCCATATATATATATATATATACACACACACATATATATATGGCTATATGAATTTTTACATGCACAAGAATATGTTTGAATATTTAATTCATTGATTCATGGTAGACTAGGAAGGCAAGACTTGAACTTTGAGAAACTGACACATTTGGGAATCTGAATAAAGCCAACTCTCTTAATTTCCTGCCTAATTAGGGCCAGGGCAGGATGGAGGCGCTTGTCTAAGTCCCCAGGAAGTCCCCCCAGCAGCTCCTTCTTTCTCTGCTTACATTCTGCCCAGGGGAGAATAGCGTACATTGATGGCTGTGCCTCAAGGAGGTTGCTCCTTGCAGAATGATGAAGGGTGAGGTTGCATGACTCAGCCTGGCATGCTACTGGTACAGTGAGAGTTTTTAGAGCCTTGGGACCATCAGGCAGCAAAGCCAGTAGGAGACAGAGTCATTGTAAGAAAGAATGTGATATTCTCCAGATACTATCTGGCTCTAAGCTCCAGCATACAAATCTGACTGTAATGTGGCATCAGTTATCAGTTCAAGTAACAGAGAGGATCAGAGCCCTTTACCATTTGCAACAGGTTGGAGTCCATATCCCAGTGAGGGGCTCCTCGTGGAGACCAAGCTCTACTCTCCACCTCATGGACAAGCTGGGAAAATATTTATGGGTGAGAACTTGACGGTTATGGAGGGTGGGATGGGAAAAGTGAAAAACAGAGTTCAATTTGTTGGAGGGTTCAGGGGCTCAGCAGTAATGGTCTTCAATTCCTCCTCCACAGGACCCCAGCTTGGCTGCTGAGCAGATGAAGGCAGCTCCTTCACCCATGCATGTGCATTAACAGCAACTTCTTAGTTTACACAGTATACACTCGGGACATAGAAAACACCTGGGAGGTTTCTCTCTAACAAATCATCACTCTGAAGATAAAATGGAATCTTTGGCTCATTGTAAAGGAAGGGTTTGTGATTTAAGGCCAAGCAGGTTTGTGAGGCAGCCTTAGCTCTGAAACTTACTAGTTGTGAGCCTTTGGTAAGGACCTCAATGACCCAGCTTCAGTTTCTTCTTCTGCAAAAATGGCCTGCTTCTTTTTCAACGGGTTATTTAAGGACCTAATGAACATGTGTACAGGCACACGCACAGAGGAGACACAGAGGAGACACTCAACAAATGTTAGTGTGTTCCCTTCCGTCGGAGGCTGGCAGGGATATTCTGACTCTAAAGTAGCATAAACGTGCTTTGAGAAGCTGTAGAGGAAACCCCAATACTGGAGGACAGTGGCAGAGCACTGACTATGGGGAAGGAGCGTGGGATTCTTTTATGACAGAGGTTGGGTTTATCTTCTGTGGTTTTCAAACTGTGTCCTTTGCAACTCAGGGGCTACTGGGGGTAGGAAAAGGGGAGGAGGAGTGTGGTTCTGAAACTCAAGTGGTTAGGGCTTTGGGGACCCTAAGCCGGGAATACTTTTTTTCTGTGTGAAATACTGGGATTCCATATAAAGATTGTTTGAAAAAGGATTCTGAGGCTAAAACAAACAAACAAACCAAAATCTGAAAACTGCAGAGAGAAGCAATCCAGAACACAAAGTCTCCATAGCATGGAGCAGAGCTTCATCATTGATTAAAAGAGGGGTTGGCTAGATGACCTCAATCCGTGGGCAAAATTCCTCAGGGAGAGGGTGGAGCAGGAAATAACACTGATTTTTACCAGTGAGAGGGATAAGGGGCACTAAATCACAGACTCAAAGCCAAGGGTCTGTCTTGATGAAAGATAGTGGAAGGCAAGAGTTCTTGGGAAACTTCCATGGTGCTGTTTTCCTGATTGTACCACCCAGTGCAAGTTAAGAAGGGTTCTCTTAGGCTCTCCTAAGTGCACAGGGTTGGGCATTTTAGAGAGAGCTCTTTGGGGACCCAGCACCTCTCTGCACCAATATAGAATCTCCAGCACCCCAGTGCAGAAGCTTGAGCTGTCTGCAGGTGGCTTCACAGCCCTTACCTTCTTCAGCTCGTCCTGGACGCTCTGGCTGTTGTCTTCAGAGGACAGACTTTCCTTCTGGTTCTCAGATTCTGTCTTGGGCTCAGACTCCTGATCCTCCCCTGAAGAAGTCTCCTTTTCACTCATTTTCATTGCTAACTCGTACAGCCTGTTTCTCCGTTTCTCCTCTGTGGTGTTTGTGGGAGTCCGGGGGTCCCGAGCCTCATTGCTGATGTCTGTCTCTGATAAATCATCCGACACCTAAATGAAAGCCAGAATCATGAGATGAGGAGCCCTCTGCTACAGCCATGTTGCCTCTTGTTCCAAATAACCCCTGAGTAAAGGAACATAGGAACATATAGTCTAGGAAAGTAACAGCTTTCTTACCTGGTCTGTTTTCTTTTCAGATGGACTTTTAGTTTTTACCTTTACTTTCTCAAATGCATGAATTTGAGAAGGTAAGCCTCTTTACTCAGAAAAGTGTTTGAATTCAATTTTTTTTTTTTCATTCACAGACTACTCTCTGAGCTCCCACCATGGGCAGCACTGTGCTGGTGAAAGGATGCTTGGAGAACCTGACCAGCCCTTGCCTGGGTCAGCTCTGTAATGAAGGAGACACACTAAAACTTTCCATATTCACTTTCAAAAATTGATACCTAATAATTGTACATATTTATGGGATACATGTGATATCTGATACATGTCTACATTGTATAAAGATCAAATCAGGATAATTAAGATATCCATCATTTCAAACATTTATCATTTCTTGGTGTTGAGAACATTCCAAATATACAATAAATTATTATTTTTGGAGACAGGGTCTCACTGTGTTGCCAAGGCTGGAGTGCAGTAGCTATTCACAGACCTAATCCCATGACTGATTAGCATGGGAGCTTGGAGCTGCTTTGTTTCCAATCTGGGCTAGTTCACCCCTCCTCAGGCAATCTGGTGGTCCCCCGCTCCCAGGAGATCACCATATTGATGCCAGACTTAGTGTGGACACCCAACCAGCACAGCACACTACAGCCCAGAGCTCCTAGGCTCAAGCGATTCTCCTTGCCTTAGCCTTCCAAGTAGCTGGGACTATAGATACATGCCACCATGCCCGGCCCAAATATATAATAAATTATGTTAACTACAGTTCTCCTACTGTGCTATCTAACATTAGAACTCATTTATTCTATCTAACTGTATTTTTGTAACCAGTAACCAATAGGGTGGGAATGGAGAGGAAGAGGTGTTGGCTAATGAGTACTAACTTTTCGTGGTGGTTGAGTGCAGAGAAAATGATGTGTGTGGCTGGGATGTGGTGAAGGGAAGGGATTCTCACAGCCCATAAATAAGCACTTGATGGGAGAGGTTGAGGATTAGGGAAAGCTTCCCTGCAGAAGGGAATCTGAATTGAGATTCGAAGTTAACAGTCACCCAGCTAAAAGGGAGAGAGGGAAGAACAATATTCTAGGCAAAGGGCCTAGATTTCAAGATGGTACAAGGACCTTGCACATATGTGAGGAATATTATTTGACATTCCCTTAATGATTATATCTCCTGCTCCAACTCTCTACTTGCTGAATATCTCCTAAACTCCTTCTGTGAGTAAAGCCTTTACTAGGCCTGGGGAACTCCAGGAAGACATAGAGAGTGTGACTCTTACTCTATTCTTGGCCTTCAGTTAGACAGATGTATGTTGAAGTGTTCATATGTATATAATATGGCATACCATTGGGGTCACTGGACCCAATTTTACTTTTTGAGTTTCCTCTTGGAGTTGTTCTATCTATTTGTAGGGTTTTATATTTTATAACTTTTATTCTCTTAGGGGGCTTCTGAAGAACAAGAAGAGAATTTACTTGTTTTTAAAATAAAATATAACTCATTACAATTACCATATGGGTTCACTGGACCTTTTTATAAATCTAAGATATATAATGGGATCTTTGTGATCTTATTTTTCCTATCTTTTGAAACATTTTGCTATTTCATCATCCAGGGAATTATTTTTCATCATTACTCACCAATTATTCCAAATTATGCTTTAAAAAGATGAAAAAATAAGTAGAATATTGAAATTGCCTAGAAGGATGATTCAGTAGTGACATAAATCATCACTATTTTGAATCTGCTTTTAGTTTTCACTGCATACAATTGAAAAATTCCAAAAACTGACAGAGAACAAAATTTCACTATCATTAGATGACTCAGAAGATGAGTTCAAAGAGGACAGCAGGTCTCTAGATTCTAACAATAATGGTGAAATTGGTTATATTATTGAAATCTCAGACTAACAGTCTTCAGATGACAGTGTCCCAGGTGAATTTTCTCAAGCTCAATAACTGATGAGTAAATATTATCAACAATATTAATAAGGATGAAAAAGAAGTATGGTCTTTTCATCCAGTTACTCATTCAACAGGAAGGACTTCATCACAAAACATTTTGCAACAATAATCTGGATATCTTGTTTTTTAAAAAGACGTGTGATACGTTCTTTCATACTTTATCAATTTTACTTGAGAGAGTTTGTAATTGGATACATTCTAAAGGCAGATGTCTATCCAAAGGTGATTAGAAGAAAACAGATGACATAGAAATGAAAAATATCACTGAATAATTAAGAGAAAAACATCTATTGGAAGTGATTTTTTTTTTCTGGTCTCGAGTGAGAATCGATGAGGGAGGGACTCATGTGAAGTAACCTGTGCTCCTAGCAGCTTGAGAAGGGGGAGTTCCTTTGCCTGGGATGTGGAGGTGGTCCACAGGAAGAATGACCTCTGAGCAGGTTCTCAAAATATGAGGAACATTTTAATACATTGTAATGGGACAGGCATTCTTGATGTAGAAGCAGCGGGACTAATAGGACCCAGGGCCCATGAAGCTGCTTGCATAGTTATAGGTATAAGGTTCAGAAGTGGAGACAGTGAGGAGCCGGGTGGTATGGAAAAATCAGGTCTGGGTCAGTCTGTGGAGGGTTAAACACCAGTCTAAGAAATAGAGTTTTAACTATCAAATAGATTTTCTGCTACTGTTGTAGTATGCACTAAATTAGCCAGGAAATCAGCAACTGGTTACAAACTCAGCCCTGGTGACCTTCTCTTATCATTTCTACACATGGAGCTGTCAATTCATGTTAACTCTAGTTTACTTTTATTAATATTAAGCTTTGGCCTAATTATTGCTTGAATATACAGACCATGAAAGACTAATTTACAAGGCTAAAATAGTTAACCCAAAAGATGAAACCTGCTTAACATGATTTGTCTACGTTTCATGTCTATTTATCATGAGAAATTATGAAGAATTATTGTGATTCAGTCCACATCCAGCAAACACGTATTGAGCACCCACTATGTGCTGAGCACTGTGCTTACTGGGGCTCAAAGGTGGGAGTGACACTGTTCCTGCCCTATTGGAGTTGACAGTGTGATGGAGAGAGGAACATTGAACCAGACAATTGTAACATACTGGGGAACAGAATAACCACATGTAAGGGTTTGATGATACTCAGAGGAAGGGCCCTCATCTGGTTGGTTAAGGTGGATATTGTCAGGAAGGGAAATTAGAATAGATGATAACTGAGCAAATCTTAAAGAATGGAATCCTAAAGATTATCAAGACATACCTCAAGTTTTATTGGAGCAGCGAGAGTCATAACGCTAAGTGATGGTTCTTGAGTTCACAGAAAGACGAATCGTATGCACACAGATATGATGCCCAGATGAGATACCATAAGCATAACTGGAAGCATCATTATCAAAAGCCACAAGAACTTCAAAAATAACAGTATTATTTGGCCATCTAATATTCATCAAGTAGATTAACAAATATTTATATCTCCAGAGAAAAATAGGTATTTTTAGCCTGCAAAGGGTTAAGCAATCCCTGCCCTATGTTATAAACTCACACGTATTTTCCCCCATGAGCTGATTATAATTTTCATGATAGCTGAGACAGTAAATGCTAAGCTGGGATCTTGGCTGACATGAAGTCTGTGGATGGGCCTCTGTGGACCCCTGATATTGTTCACAAACTTTGGTATGCATGCACACTTTTCTAGGATGAGCATTATTAGTTTTCATCAGATTTCCACAGGGGTCCGTGCTCCCAAAAGGCTAAGAAACACCGATAAGAATACTTATCAATAAGAATACTTCCTAAGTAAGACAACAGTAGATGGGTACATGTTGGTTGAACATGTACGCCATTGGAAGCTTACAGTTGAATTCAGAGAAGGGAGCAGTAAGGAGGTTTGTGTTTAAAGCCAGCTGGTAACCAGAATTTAGAGAAAGTAAGAGTGCTGCTGAGTCTTCAGCCAACAAAAATGCTCTTCTACTTAAAAGGGACCCTGATTATCACAACAACTTCACCCAAACACCAAACATACTCACTGTGTTGGACAATGAGGGACTTAAGCAGATCACTGAGAAGATTATGAACTCAGTGGAGAATCCTGAGAAGCTTTTGCAGGGAGGGCGGTGGGGGTCAGGGGCAGAGGGTGGGGTGGGAAAGAATGAAATTCCTTATGGGCAAGCTGGATAATTATGAGCAATGTCTGTATCTGGGCACAAAACATTTTAAGTAATCTGAAAATCAGAGTTGCTTGCCCACTGGTGTGGTGTCTCAAACTCTCCACTTATAAAGCGGTATTTGTACGTATAATGGGACATTATTTTGAAAACAAGAAAGCAGTGCTTTTCATTTCCCATTGAAACTGCATTCCCTTGTGTCTTCATTTTCTTAGGCTAAACCATAAGCATTTTACCCCAGGGAAGGTGAATGTAGATCCAGAACCAAAAGATCATTGATCAGTTCACTCCATTAGCTCTTTAGGGTAACAAAAGGCTCAAAAGACAGATTTTGTGAACACGGACAGAGGGTTTCTAGAGATGAATCTGTTGAAAAGCTAAATTTCACTTCTACTTCTATTGAAATCTAGAAAGAAGCAACCTCGTAGGATGCCTATGACCTCTGACCCCCCAACCCCCGCCATGATGATATGGGCAGCAGAATCAAGTACAATCACCCCCCCCCCCCCCCCCCCCCCGCCATGATGATATGGGCAGCAGAATCAGAGTACAATCACCCCTGATGAGGAGCTTCTCAGGGAGGCTGAAGGGGGCTCCAGGGTCCCTCCTGGCACCTGTGTGGCACAGAGGGCACCCAGAAGCAGAGTCATAGAAGATTGCTGGTGACACTGTAATAAAGTAGCTGTCCTGGGGTTGGACAGCCAGGGCCAGGTAGCTGACATGTGTGAGAGCCAT